TTTTCCATGTGAAAGCCACATGCAAAAGAGTGAAAGTAGACTACACCTTGGCCCCACGTATAAAAATTAATTCAAAATGGATCAAAGACCTAAAATTTAAGATCTGCAACAATAAATTACATGGAAGAAAACATAAGATACTAAACTCATGGACCTTGGTCTTAAGAGAAGATTTTATGAATTTGACACCAAAGGCAAGGGAAGTAAAAGCAAAAATAAATGAATGGGATTACAGCAAACTAAAAAGTTTCTGCACAGCAAAAGAAACTGCCAACAAAACAAAAAGGCAATGGAATGAATGGAAGATGGTATCTGCAAACAATAGCTCCAATTCATTTCCAAAATACATAAAGAACTCATACAACTCAACACCAAGCAAAACATCCAATTAAAAAATGAGCTGAGGCCCTGGCTGTTGTAGCTCAGTGGATTGAGCGCGGGCCTGCGAGCCAAACAATCGCGGTTCAATTCCCAGTCAGGGCACATACCTGGGTTGCAAGCCGGGTTCCCTGCAGGCCAATTCCAGCAGGGGATGCACAAAAGGCAACCATACATTGATGTTTCTCTCCCTCTCTCTCCTTCCCTTCCCCTCTAAATATAAATAAATAAAATCTTTAAAAAAAAAAAAAAAGAGCTGAGGACCTGAACAGACCTTTTCCTTAGAAGATGTACAAACGGCCAACAGATATATTAAAAGGTGCTCAACTTCACTAGCTATTAGGGAAATGCAAATCAAAGCTACAATGAGATACCACCTCACACCTATTAGAATGGCCATTATCAACAAGACAAGTAATAAGTGTTGCAGAAGTTGTATAGAAAAAGGAACTCTCATTCATTGCTGGTAGAAATGTAAACTGGTACAGCCACTATGGAAAACAGAATGGAGGTTCCTCCAAAAATTAAGGATAGCATTACCATATGACCAACAATCCCTCTTCTGGGTATCTACCTGAAAAATTTGAAAACATTTATTTGCAAAGATATTTTCTCCCGTGTTCATTGCAGCACTATTTGCAGAGGCCAAGAGATTGAAACAACCAAAGTGTTCTTCAGTAGATGAATAAAGATGTGGTAACATATACGAGGTCTGTCCAGAAGGTATCCAGTCATGTGATATGAGAAATAGACATTTATTGAAGATACAAGAAATATTGCACATAGGACAACGATGTTTCAGTCCCCTTCAAACCAGGTACCTTGGGACCTCACACAGTTTTCCCATTGCCATCAGCTGCCCCATTGTATTTTCCTGAATCTCATCAAAGGTCTGAAATCTCTTCCCTTTCAAAGGTGGTTTTAGTTTTAGGAAAAGCCAGAAGTCACAGGGCACCAAATCTGGGCTGTAGGGGGACTAACTCACCTGGGGGATTGGATTTGATGTTTCACCAAAACACTCTGCATGAGACTCTGCATGATGAATGAGTTTGCTCATTGTGATGAAGCTGCCAAGCACCAGTTACCCATAGCTGTGGCCTTCCACACATGTGGCCATGTATGATTTGAATCACATGAATAGTTTCCACAGAGGAATGTTAAAGCTTAATGCAGCATTTGATGCAGAATCATTACTCTGCTCACTCAGTCATTTTGAATGTGATAGCTACACAGGGCACATGCTCACTCAACAGCATCTACAGCCCCCCACTGACTACTACAGTGAAGTCATCATTGTTCAAACATGCACATTCTAGCCTACTCTCCTTGGCTATCAGCTTACATGGATGTCATACACTGTTCTCATTACATTAACAATGGCTGGACTTTTCCCAGACAGACCTCGTATACTATAAGATACTACTCGGCCATAAAAAAAGATGCAATACTACCTTTTGCAATAACATGGATGGATCTTGAGAATATTACGCTAAGTGAAGTCAGTCAGGCAGACAAAGCTAAGAACCGTACGATTTCACTCAGAAGTGGGATATAAAACTGAAACTCACAGACACAGACAACAGTATGGTGGTTACTGGAGGGAAGGGGGTGGGGGAGCCATAAACTGTAAGGGGCCAAATATATGGTGATGGAAGATCATTTGACTTCGAGTGGTGGGCACACAATGCAATATACAGATCATGTATCAGAAATCTACACTTGAAACCTATATAGTCTTATTAACCAATGTCAGCCCAATAAATTTAATAAAAATAAAATTTACAATTCTGATTTATTTATGTACTAAGTCTTTGAAATCCAGTATGAACTTTATACATACAGCCCATCTCAATTCAGACTAGCCCTATTTCAAATACTTGACAGTCATATGAAGTTAGTGGATTCCACATTGGACAGAGAGGTCTAGAAGCCTTGTTACCATAGAAAAAGGTTTTGTGTTATAATTTTTTAAAAATATTTTATTTATTTATTTTCAGAGAGAGGGTAAGGGAAGGAGAAAGAGTGGGAGAGAAACATCAATGTGTGGTTGCCTCTTACGTGTCCCCAACTGGGACCTGGCCCGCAACCCAGGCATGTGCCCTGACTGGGAATCGAACCAGCAACCCTTTGGTTCACAGGCCTGTGTACAATCTACTGAGCTACACCAGCCAGGGCTGTGTTATAATTTTAAAAGACCCAAACCAATCCAACAGAGGGGACAGGTTAGTTAGAATCGGTGCTTTCTATTCTTTTCTGAGCAACAACCCTAAGAAACTAGGCTGACTTAGATCATGTAAAAGTACAATACTTATCTAAAGCCATCCTGGTCTCAGTAACTTCTCTTACATTCTTCAGGGTTGAAGGGATAGTACTTATATACAGCCTCACAAGAGTTTTACCTTTAGGGAAGTTTGAAATCCTTGAGTAAAAATTTCGAATAACCTAAGGTTGTTTAATATATACTGATACTGACCCCAATTACCTCAGTTACATAAAGTATTTTGTCATATCAATGTCCATCCATTTGAGAAACTTATCCATCTCTAGAAGAATATTTCACCCCTATCACAGTCCTAAAAAATGACTCGAGTCTATACAGGTATCCATTTGCCTTTGGACCTGTAATGTCCTCTGGTCTCAAATTTCAGGTGAAGTTTTTGAAACCTGCTTGGTTTCTAAGACTTGGAAAATGAGAGTGACAAACCCATTCAGCAGATGTCTACAGAGGAAATCCTAGAATAGGGGTGTCAAAGTCATTTTCACCGGGGGCCACATCAGCCTTGTGGTTGCCTACAAAGGGCCAAAATAATTTTAGGACTGTATAAATGTAACTACTCCGTAACTGTTAAGGAGTTGAAATTATATTCAGCCCTTTGAAGGCAACCACAAAGATGATGTGGCCCCTGGCGAAAATGAGTTTGACACCCCAAGAGCAGAACAGACCATGTAGGAAACAGAGGAGGTAAAGGTGCAGGCTCTGAAAACTTTGATGTTTCTGCATTCCCCAGGCAGATTGAATCAGAAGTAGGCTTTTCACTCAAGTAATACTGCTATCTTAGGGAGCCAGGGGCTGTTACTGAAACTGAAGTGCCGTCCTTATCAGCTCACACACTTGACTAGAGACTACAGAGGTTTAAAAAAACCCTTTTTATTCTGGACTTTTGTCACACATGCAACATGAAGAAATCACGTGGCTTTGTGTTTTGTAAACAAAATCACTGTTTACTAAAGTAGTGGCCTGTATTGCTTATGACATGCTAAGCACTATAACAAGTGCAGAGGAAGCATGTGGGGAATCTTATGAAGATCCAAGATTCTGATTCTGTAGTCTAGGAATGAGGACTGAGATTCTCTATTTCTGAGAAGCTTCCAGATGATGCAAGTGCTGCTATTCCTTGAATCTCAGGTTGAATAGCAAGGCTTTATATGAATGAACTCATGTAATCTTCTCTACAATATCAGGAAATCCTTGCTATTATTACCCCTATTAAAGATGAAGAAACTAAGGCACAAGAGAGTAATTTGCCCAAGTTCACAACCACTAGGAAGTGGGAAGAGGCCAGCCCTTGCTCTAAGGACTCCACTGTGTATCCTTTCCAAGTTCAAATGCAACAAGGAAGCACAAGAATCATTTCATTTTACTATTAAACCTAAAACACACAAATTAAAGTAGTTAAAGCAGTATTCATAACATGGTTCTACTACTCGTAATTGAAGTTTTATTAAACATTTGAGAATGTGTATGACTTTATTCCACAGTTACCCGCACCCTCCAATATTCAATTCCAAAAGGTTGCGTGAACCATGTGGTCAAACGTTCATAGTTTTTTCTACCCTTCTCAAATAACCGGTGAGTGTGTCGTGCACCCAGTGTGTGTGTGTGGTGAGGGGAATTAATGTGAAAAGGGAGCGGATCAAATGTTTTTACATTAGATGGCTAATGTGAAAAAGCACCCTAACTTCCGGGCGCAAGTGAGAATTCGAGAAGTCAGGAACAAGTTATGCAAATCTTTGCTACTAAGTATTTACTATTTTTTAAGTACGGGCTGTAGACTAGCGAACAGCATTGGGAGCACTTAGGAACCGGTTAGGAACAAAGTATCTTAGGCTCCGCCCCTGATCCGATGAATCAGAGAAGGTCCTTTTAACCGGAACCCCATATGCTCATGTGTACTTTAAAGTTTGAAACCACTGATCTAAATTACAACTTGATTTAGATTCATTGCCAGAGTCTCTACAGGGCCGTGGCGTTAAAGACAATGGAGGGGAAACAATGCCCTTCCTAGGCGGACATTTTATTTTCCTCCCTGGGGCATCGTCGCGGATTATGGCAGGGCCCAGTCCCTCCCAAGACCACTACCGTGGCCTCCCGGGCCAGACCCGAAGGCTACGGAGCATGCACCACCCCGCAATGCGACTGCGGCTCCTGCACAGACCGCCACACCCCTCCCGCGGCCTGCCAAAATTACTCCAAGGGCCCGCGCGCCACGCGGACGGCCGCACGTGGGCACCAGCCGCACGGTTCCAGCCCGGTAGGCGCGAAGTAGAAGAGAAATGGCCTCCTGCCTTGAGTCCCAGCCCTGGGTACCGCGGGGCTCTGGCCGTCAACCCGTAGCCCTCACCTTCAGCACCAAGTCGGTCAGGTAGACGGCAGTCCAGCCGCCCACCACCACTACCACCAGCGACACCGGAATCATGGTAACAGCGGAGGCAGCAGAAGAAAGGCGAGCCGCGGCTTTCTCCTCCCGGCGAGCCGTGCAACAAGCCGACCGCCCGGTGCCTACAATCACACCATCTGCGCAGGAACAAACCTGTTTCGGCTCCTTTCTCGTGGTGGTGCCGTTTCCCACCGGACGTTTCCGGTTCAACACAGACGGACGTGTACGCGCCGGAACGGGAGGCGGGGGCTTATTTTTGTGGGCACTGATTCGTCTTAGTTCCCGCACTTGTACCGCTGCAGCCGCCAGCCCTCTAGCGATTTCTTAGGCTTTGTCCCTCCCTGCTGTCTGTTCTCCGTTCTCTTCGATTCTGGCTGGGGGTTTGCTGTTCCTTTTATAATCTAGTGAAGATAAATGTCTGCGCCTCCCGTACATTGTAATAGGCATCCAGGTTTAAGTTAGTTTCTTTTATTTTTTTTTATTGAAGTGCAATTTACGTATAGCGAAATCATAATACACAGATCTCAGCCGTTCATTTCTGTAATAACTATCTGTGTACTCTAATCAAAATAAAGAAAATTTCCATCTCATTAATTTCCCTCCTGGTCAATCCCCCCTTCTTTATGTAAATAGCATCATACGATAGGTACTCTTTTTGTGTCTGCCTTATTTTGCTTATTTTACAGTTATTCGTATGGAAAAGTAATACAATAATTAATAAGTAATACAAGAATAAACTTTCGCGTACTCACAACTGTAAACTACTTTTGTCCAAGCCTGTATTTTAGAGCTGTAGGGGAGCAGAATTTGCGACTCCAAAATACGATTTTTTGGCATATGATTTTAAACTATTAAAAATAAATAAGAAGAGCTCTGAACACCAAGTAGAAGTTACCCTTTTGTAAGAGACATTTACATTTATAAAGGGCACCTTCATTTGCAAAAGCATCTCGCTCTCGATGTCAGGAAGAGTAGGATGAATATATCTCTAGAAACCCTTATCAGTGGAGAAGGCAAAGACTTAAATCTGCATAACACCCTTACCCGTTACTGTGCCTTCCATAACTGGCCACCTCTTCATGTCCAACATCTTTTGTTTTCACCTGGAGGTGGTGTTTAAGGTGGTGGCTCCAGCTATTTTGGGGACTTAGTTTTCTTGGGTCTGCAGGTTATTAAACTTTGGTCGTTTTACTCCTATTGTTCTGTCTCAGGTCAATTTAATTCTTAGACCAGCCAGAGAAATCTAGAAGAGAAGAGGAAAAAATTTTCCTCCCTGAACGGGGAAAATTTCATGTAGTCAATCAAATTAGGGTCTTTTCTCAAACTCTTCTACTAAAAAATTTAAGATTGGTGCTATGGTAAAAAAAAAAAATGGAGCTCCGAACATCTTAATATATTTTTATGTTGACATATACCTGATTGTATATTGACTTGGAGTAGTGGGTCTTAACCTTGGCTGTACATTAGGATCACTAGAGGGAATTTTAAAATTTCTTTCTAAAATTTTGTAGCCTTGAGCAATTGAATTAAAATAGAAGCATGGAACCCACAGTATTTTTTCTCCCCAAGCACTAGTATTTTTAAAAAACTGCTTATGTCATTCTACTGTGCAACCAAGACTGAAAACCACTGAACTAGATGGTCTCCAGTAGGAAGGAAAACTAATATTTATGGAGTGTTTTTATTCATTCTTTTAAAGTTTTTAAAAGTTATTTGTTTTAACTTTTCTGGAAAAGCATCATCAATAAAAATACTAATATCCAAATATTGAGAACATAATACTATCTTAACAACAAGTATCCTAAATAAAACTGCACTTCCAAAACACCCTCTAAAGTAAAAATAAAGTGTAATACTAGCGGCCCATGTTATAGATATTGCTACTAGTTTGCTTCACTTTCCATATTTTTCCTAGAGTTTTAATAATTTAGCACCATAACTCTAGCTTCAAGAACTCTTATGACATATCTTCTTGTATATGTGTGTATATGCGTTATTATAAAATGTTCTAATTTATTTTGAACATAGCTTGGCATAAATTATAAGAGTTTATATTCAAGCATCCTATGACTCCACAGTTTTCCACGTACAGGTGTCTGAAAAGTCTTAGTGCAGTTTTAGGCTTTGATAATTTCGTTTTTAAATTTATTTATTTATTTATGTTTAGAAGGGAAGGAGAGAGGGAGAGAAATATCAATGTATGGTTGCCTCTCGTGCGCCCCCTGCTGGGAACTGGCCTGCACCCCAGGCATGTGCTCTGACTGGGAATCGAACCGCAGCCTTTTGGTTCACAGGCCCGTGCTCGGTCCACTGAGTTACACCAGCCAGGGCAGGCTTTGATAATTTCTGAAGTATAAATGCTAAATACTTACAAAAAGCATCACCTGAATGTTTACTGAAATTATGTTTACTTAAGTTACATGACTATACTTAGTCATTTTGTGAATTTTGAATAGTTATATTTAAAATTATTTATTTATTTATTTTTGAGAGAGGGGAAGGGAGGGAGAAATAGAGGGAAAGAAACATTGATGTGTGGGAGAAACATCTATGTGTTGCCTCTCGCAATTCTCCGAATGAGGACCCAGGCATGTGTCCTGACTGGGAATCAAACCAGTGACCTTTGGTTTGCAGGACGACGCACAACCCACTAAGCCACAACGGTCAGGGAAAAAATTGAATAATTTCATTTTATTTTTCTTTATTTTTTAAAGATTTTATTTACTTTTAGACAGAGGGGAAGGGAGGGAGAAAGACAGGGAAAGAAACATCAATGTGTGGTTGCCTCTTGCACACCCCCCCTACTGGGGACCTGGTTTTTAACCCAGGCATGTGCCCTGACTGGGAATCCAACTGGTGACCCTTTGGTTCACAGGCCCACTCTCAATTCACTGAGCCACACCAGCCAGGGCAAATTTTGAATAATTTTAAATTTCAAATATTTAGTCCCCCTTATTGAGGATGTTAAACATTGAATGAAATAAAAATGGACATATGTTTACTGTTAAAAAATTTCTAAGATCAAATAAGTATGAAAGAAATTTAAATAATTTTACTTTCTAATGATGTTTTATATGTTTGTAGAATTTGTAATTCTGAAGTTATTAAGGCCTAAAACTACATTAAGACTTGTTGGGAACCTTACACCTGGCTTCTAGCTAAAAACATTGCATTGATTACAGGAACCTGTGCGCTCCACAAAGCCAATCGGCTACAGGCACATGAGGTGTGCCTGCGCTCCACAAGCCAATCAGCTACAGGCACATGAGGTGTCCACGAGTACCAGTTGCACCCAAGTAATCAATAAGCGGGCCCTTCTTTGTCTCAAGCTAGCCAATAGCAAGCAACCTAATCTCCTTCCTCTCCCTCCCCCCCCATATATATACCCAGTTCGGAAAAATAAAGTTTGCAGCTTGATCAGAATCTTTTGTCTTGCTGCCATTCTTCACGCCTCTTGTCCCCCCAACTCATTTGTTCTAGGTAGGTGGTCGAGCCCCAGTTGATTGCTCCACGGGCCGGAGCAAAGACTATGGTACACTATTGTATTTGAACTCATCTTTGGTCTTATATAATTCCCATTGTTTTTAATACTGTTTTCCACTGGGAGGAGACTATTAAGGTAAGAATTGAAATGTCTTCTCTTTTGTTAGCCTGAATCCTTGCCTGGACTACTTGCTGGAATAAGTACCAGATGCTGTGTGGCTATCTGATTGCCCAAAGTATGTAGGAAATAAGATGATTGGGTTTTTCTGTTCTAAACCTAAAAATCTACCTATTCATCTGATTTGGTGTTCTCATCAGGGATCCAGCAGTCAAAACAGAACATTGAATTGAATCCCGCTAGTCTCTGGAATTTGTCGGTAGTGAAAGCCAGCTGGTGGCAGCAGAAGAGACAAGATAATGTAAGATGGCAGCAAAAACATACCTGAATTCCATAAGATCAAGGTATTCTTCCTCAAGTAACTATTTTAAAAAAAAGACTTTATTTATTTACCTTTAGAGAGGGGAAGGGAGAGAGAAAGAAAGGGAGAGAAACATCGATGTGTGGTTGCCTCTCATATACCCCCCACTGGGGACCTGGCCTGCAACCCAGGCTTGTGACTTGACTGGGAATAGAACATGCAACCCTCTGGTTTGCAAGCTGGCACTCAATCCACTGAGCTACATCAGCCGGGCCTCAAGTAACAATTTTTTAAAAATATTTTATTTATTTATCTTTAGCGGGGAAGGGAAGGAGAAAGAGAGAGACCCTCTCATGGGTCCCCTGCTGGGGATTAGCCTGCAACCCAGGCATGTGCCCTGACTGGGAATCAAACCGCGATCCTCTGGTTCGCGGGCCCGCGCTCAGTCCACTGAGCTACACCAGCCAGGGCTCAAGTAACAATTTTAAGTAAAGGTCACATAGCCAAGCTTTTATTCATATTACTCTTATTTAGAATTTTTTTAGATGGGCAACAAATATATATTTTGGCTGAATGCAAAATAACTGTATGTTAAAAATCAATATCTGGCTGAAGCAGAATATCAGCATCTTATAATAAACTTCTAAGATATCAGAATTAACATGAAATATTAAAATTAAATATTAGCCCTGGCTGGTGTAGCTCAGTGGATTGAGCTCGGGCCTGCAAACCAAACGATCACGGTTCAATTCCCAGTCAGGGCACATGCCTGGATTGCAGGCCAGTCCCCAGCAGGGGATGCACAAGAGGCAACCATACATTGATACTTCTCTTCTTCTCTCCTTCCCTTCTCCTCTCAAGATAAATAAATAAAATCTTTTTAAAAATTAAAAAATAAAATCAGATATTAATTTTAAAACTATTACTATTTTACTATTAAAATATTAATATGCAGATTTTTAAAGTTTGCCATTCCCTTCAGGAATTTTCATTTCTCATTGATATAAGCTAGTGGTTTCTGGGGTCATTATACTCTACATTATGACACTATGAGTAAATTACACCAGTTTGGATAAGCTAGGTTATATTTGGGAAACAAACCCTAAAATCCTCGTAGCTTTAAAAAAACAAAGATTTGGTTTTTTTGTTTGTGCTATGTATCCATCAGGGTCTGGCAGACTGATGGAGACTCCCCCATTTTATTATGCCCACATCTTAAAATGAGCCTCAGGGTTCATTCACTGCAACAGCGAAAGAGACGACTGGAGTGTTTACAC